TTTTTACTTTCATATAGACATTACTATTTTTCTAATAATTATATAATTATAAAAATCAAACATAAAACATAAAAAATTGAGATTTGATATATAAATAAGACGTAACATAATTTATATTACATTTTCATTTATTCTAAAATAACATTATCTGTACTACAATTAACACGTAAAAGTTGTTGGTACTTATTTATTCGATCTAAACACGGAGTAAGAATGACAACGGGCCAGGTTCGGGCCGGGTATTGGTATCCCCGTCCCCGAAACCGATAGCTAAAATTGTCCCCGTAACCGTCCCGATCCCCGTCGGGGATCTTATCGGGGATCTCCATCGGGTCCCCGCGGTTTCCCCGATCCCCGTTGGGGAACCCGTTAAGGATAAAAATTCTCTTTTTCACCGTTGGTTATAACCGAACCCGAACCCGAAACCGATATGGAAAAAATTACAATATGTTAATTTTCACAATTAAAAGTAAATTACAATGTTTTTAAAGATCTAAATTAAAAATCCCCGAATTCGTCCCCGATCCCCAGCCCGTCCCCGATAAAATGTCCCCGAACCCGGCTCGAAAGTTTCGGTTTTCACCGTCGATTTCGGTTTTTTTTGCCATCCCTAATACGGGGAGCCCATGCAGCAGCACACGGATAGCAGAAATGAAAAAAATATGGAGTAATAGTAGGGATCGGGTATCCTTCTGCCAAGTCTAGTTTCACATAATGGTTACGGTTAACGTATCCAATTGCAAAACTTACATGTTGATACCATGGTGGGAGAGTAGACTTAAGCGGTAAGTATGTTGAACAACCTGTAATGTTTATAACGTGTAAGAGCACATTATACTTTGAAGCAATCAGGACACCAATTTCAGGCATGGTCATCCAATGTTTAACTGGGGCACCTCGATCTAATTGAAAGAAGTTTAAAATATTGTAAACTATATTCCAATACTGACTTCTAAATATGTTGAGGTACTATGTCTTGTATGCGTCTAACTCTTCCATCAAGTTAAACCGAATTGTTGGCCATGCATCTTCATGAAGACCAAGGTGGAYADCTATTGCTCGAAATCCACAGTTTCCATCACCTCTCACATCATGTACCTGTCTGATGTAAGGGTGAAACATTTCAGGAAATTGATTAATATATGGATGCGCATNCCTGTCTGATGTAAGGGTGAAACATTTCAGGAAATTGATTAATATATGGATGCGCATTATAATTATTGTTGACGAAAGAACTATGTCTCGCTGGTTCATGGTAGCTTATTTCATTCAAGTCAACAAATGATGATGCATTCGAATAGCTACGTGTAAGGGGTCTTTCAGCTGTAAAAGACGAATCAACATGAGCTGTAAAAGACGGATCAACCTTAGATGTAAAAGACGGATCAACATGAGGTTTTCTGAAAAGTTTATCCTTCAACGAGGGACGTCCACGAGTAGTCTTGTTAACAACTGGTTCACGAACCCACGTTTTTGATGCATTGGTTATCTCTCTCTCTTTACACATATCTTGAATATAAACCTAGAACCTTAGATTATGGATTGAGAGATGGGGGTCTAGAGGTTGAGGATAAGCAAGAAGGACCCAGAAAAGATGCTTTGTGAACTGTGAAAAAAAGAAAAAAGAGAATGGGGTAGTCTTGATAAAATAATATGTAAATAAATAAATATAATAAAATAAATATAAAAATCTAATAATATATATATATATATATATATAATATAAGAATATATATATATATATATATATATATATATATAAAGTAATTTGTAAATAAACAAATAACATAAAAATAATAAAATAATATATATTTTTCTAATATAAATATATAAAATAAAACAAAATTAATAAAAATGATTATTGAGGTGATGTTTATGAAAAAAATTGATTGACACAATTTCCAATAAAATCACACACCCTTACTAAGGGGTGCCATTAGCATCCCCCTTATTTTGACTTTGAAGCTGACATCAATGAAGATGATCATATCTTCCCATTCCAGACTGAACATCAATCTACATCTGAACCTCCTACCACAGTGTCTCCAGGCGCTTCCGATACCACCAGGGCGGTATTTGATCCTACTGAAATGTTCTCTAAAAATTATGTACCGTTTGCAATACGTGCAAATGTTCCAGGATATGATCGAGCGCGGATCAGAGAACCATACATCGAGGACATCTACTTCACTATTTTCATTTGTCATAGGAAAGCTTTAAGCACTGACAGAATTCTTGGGATTCACAAGGAAACACGTGAATACCGCATGGAGTACAAGCACTTCTTGAAAGCAAAGCACCAACTTATCAGTCAAGTACGAACTAAACACTGTATTGTTTCTATCAAAAGTACTGATGCCAATAAACTTGTAAGTGTTTGGTATCTTGTATTCACTGTAACGAGACAAGATGGTCAGATTTGGACTTTTAGCGAAGCAGATTTCCCAAACATCTACCTTGAAGACTTGGAGCATCTCTATCATGAAATTCGTGATCTGACAGTCAAAAAAGATGGAGCAGTTCTTGGCTTTGAAGCGATAAAGAGATATCTGAAGAGCCACGTCAAATTATCTTTGGTTATTGATGTTCAAATGGGTTTCGAGGGCAATCAGAAGATTGTCAATCTAAAGAGACCTAATCAAGACATTGATGACATTGAAGGCTATCCTCTCTTTCTAATACTTGAAGATCCGGAGTTCGGTGTGATTTATTATGGAGCTGACAGAGGCAAGAGGTTAAGGAGATTCAGTGAGCTAAACAAGTACTCTGATGGAACAATCAAGGTTGTACGAAGAGCTCTTGAGAAGATTAAAGCTACCAATGACAAAGCGACGGAGCGTGAAAGAATGGGTCCAAGAGAAAGGTTCCTGCTGATCAGTGCTTTAAATCTCTTGGAAGAAAAATTGCAATATCGGAATGCGTTGAGAAGAATTGAGACTAACCTGGGCTTTCGAAGAACAAGATTTACTATTTCTCATGTTTGAATCCAAAGGAGAAGAATGTTGGGTTCAAAGTTGTGCTTTAATTGTTATATTCAAGCAAGTTTCTCCTAAATTTTGTAATAGTTTAGCTTTATTGCTTTCTAGTATAATAGTGTTCTTAACCTTGTAATTAGTGTAAGTTTGTCATTAGTACTAATCTTTGAAGATTTCAATACAAATCATTTGGGTTAATCTCTCTCTACATTGTTCATCTCTTTCTTCAATATTTATCTGATTTGATGATTAATTGGGAACAGATAAACGCTTACCCGGTCAGATATGATAGTCGATTTGCTAACCAAAAGAATCTGGCAATTAGTTTTGTACTAGCGATAGACTACTTAATATTTAATTCGAAAAGTTATCTTGCCGGTGATAACAGGGTAAGAGACGTTTATACACCAAATTATTTGATAACCGGAAAGGTAAGCACCCGTGAGTTTGTAAAAATCCATATACAACTATACGAGGTTAGTTAAATACCGCTTCAAAACCCACTTTGCGAAATTAGCTGAACCATGTGGTTTCGTTCATTCAGACCCCTTTTCCATTTCCTACATCTTGGGTTGTACATCAATTTATATCAATTCATTCGAAAGAAACACCAATCAAAATTTTGTATTCCATTCCAATATCATCGGAAAATAACATTCCAAACCTCCGACAGCCATCGCCATCACCCTACAACCAAAAACAACCACCACCAGCGGGACTTAGCCCACGCCCCACAACCACAGACAAACCACGTCCTTATAAATATACAAAATGGACTCCAATTGCTCAAATCATTCTTTAATCATCTTAGGGCATTAACAAAAGCCATCAAAGAGTCCACGTCTCTTTTCTCAGACGGGTACTTGATCGGCCTAGATGAATGTTTCGGGAAGAAAAGAATGGTCGGAAAGCTCCCGAGCTGCAGTTCTTGCTGCGCAAACGCCTTTTCGTCACCATCTGCCCTGAATTTTCCAACCTTCATGTCGCTCCCCGCCAACTTCTCAGCAAATTCCACATACGAAGCTTCCATGGCCTGCCATCACATAGTTGTTAGGATATGTGGAACCAATTTTAATCCCTCCTTAATATATATATATACACATATGGGCATAATCAAATGATAACCACAAAAAAGATTCAGAATAATCAAATGAAATAATCAATAATATATTTAGGAATAACCAAATGAAATAATCAATAATGTCACAAACCCGTGAAAACCAATTTAAACCATTCAATAAGTTTGATTTAAGAGATGATATGATTCATATTGTATCATATGTTCTATTCATGTATGGGTATGTGGGTGTTCATATATGAAGCGTATTTTCGTGTCTTCTTTCACACGCAAAATAGTTATGGATGTAATACATGAAGACCGGTTTTTTAGGTTCGTGACATTTGATGGTGCATGTCTAACTGATATGACATTCTTAACAATTGTATCAATGATAACAAAATCTAGCAGTTTTAAGGTCAAGTACCTGGCAGAATTGGCACCATGGTGCATAAAGAACAACCATCCAAGGATCTTTCCTATCTTCCATTTTGAGCAGATTTTCCATCCCGGGCCGGCTCAAGCTCACGATATCGTTGCTATTAAAGATGTCCGAAACACTCCCTTTAGCATGAACCTCACCATTCCCATCTCCGTTCACCGTTTCTTCCTTAATGTTTCCTTTATGTAACCCACATTCCTTTGCCTTTGCATCCTCCCACCACCATCTTCCTTCCCTCTCGTGTTGACCAGGCAACACCGCCCTGGTGCACGGCTCGCACCCAATCGAAACGTACCCATGGGCGTGCAACGAGTTGACCGGGACATCCATGGTCCGTAAGAAATTCCAAATATCATTACCAGCAACATTAGCCACAGGATTCCATTTCACTAAGCTCCCTGAACCACCATCCATCCCTTCGAAAACCGGATCCACCTGAACCACCGGAACCTCCGATCGTGTTCCCGGAGACTGGTCTTTGCGTTGACCCGTGATCCATGCACGTAACCCCTTCAATGCACGCCGCAAAGGTCGCACCTTCCTTACGCGGCAGCATTCTTGATGCCCATCTTCGTAAAATGAAAATAGGCCTTTGGTCCTGACTAAGGCCTGAACTTCCACAGAATCTGGGAACATGTACTCGATGCGAATGCCGTAGTGTTTCTCAACCGCATCAAAAAATTTGTATGTTTCTGGGTTCAATCTCCCAGTGTCCAGGCTGAATACGCGAAATGGCCGTCCCGTAAGATGAGCATACTCGATCAAAGCAACATCTTCGGCACCACTGAAAATTAAACAAATTTGTTTCAAGGAGCCATTCAGCAAAACAGTAATCAACAATAACGCTACAAAAATTGGGTTTACAGGATCAAACAATTGTGCATCATAACATACAAGTGTTGCAATAAGGTTATAGAACACTCTTAACAAGTTCTTCTGAAACACTTTGAGAACGTATAAGCTTTTCCAAAAGATATTTGGGGAGATGTCCTTGTTTTCAAATAGCTTATCAAGACACCCAAAATCATCATATAAATTATTTGAACACTTCACATAGAAATCACAATTGTTAGGTCCTATAAATCAAATTTTGTTGTAATGTGAGCATGTGTTGACGTTTTGATAGATGGCAATATGATTACCTGAAGGCTATAGCAATGTCATTGCCATATTTCTGGAGGGCTTTATCCATGATTTCAAGTGGAGAAGCATCCTCAAGATCTTTAGCCAGAGTTTCAATGTCTTCAATTTCTATTGGTTTCTCCACCACATCTGTAAATCCAACATGAAATCAACACATAAACCCTCAAATCATTCGTCTAAATCCTACAAATTCTTAATCATGAATCTAACTACTTTGCTGAGGTCAGTTACTTTCTAAATTCTAAGGTTAAATGAACTCATTTGTAACTTCAAATTCAGTGAGAATTCTAACATTCTCAAGAAAATTGAGCGAGTAGATCAGACTTTATACAACAAGTACTACAAACATATAGAATTTGGTGTCAGATCTGTAACAAGTTCACATCAAATTTGAATGTAAGAAGACACCAGTATTGACTTCAAAAGTCAAAGTTGGAAAAACGACAAATGAAGCTCATCATCAACGATTGGTATTTGGACGAAAACACCATCGATTTATCCAAAAAATGAAGAATTAATTACCAGGAGCAAAAACGGTGGCAGCAGAAGGAACAATTGTATCATTCCTCCTCGGTTCCGCATTTAAAGCCTTCACGGCACCAGATCGTTTTCGAGATAGATTCAAAGCCGCCGGTGATACCAGATGAGACCGATCCGATTGTTGAAATTTAGTTGAACTCAACTGAACCCCTACAAACACAAAAAGCAAATACACAAATTACAAATCGAAACATCAATGAAAACGAAGTAAAAAAGATACATCAAATAGAGATTTCACCTTGTTCTGTTCGAGAAGAAGAAAATGCAATCGAAGTAGAAGAAGTAAAAGCTAACGCCATTGTCAAAGCTTGAAATTCCCGGAAGCAATTTGGTCACAGATTCTAAGACTAGAGAGGAATGATTTCTGAAAAATGGGTTCTGATTGTGTGAATCTGGCGATGAAGATGATGGAGGAGGGGAGGGAGGTATAAATCCAAGAGGAGGACAATACGGACGATATATGGTGAGGGAAGGGTGTATGAGATTCATTGAACCTGGACGTAGTTTTGAAGGAGAGAGAAAAACATAAAGTGAGTGTGCCACGTGGCAAAATATAAGAGGTGGTGAGGGTCAATTTTTTTAATCTTCGCTAATCACTTCCGTCACTTGGCGAACCGAAAGGCCCCTGTGGCTTTGTCCATGATTCCACACCATATATATTTTTTGCGTGTTTAATTTCTGTTAGTTTTTAACCATTTTTCTTTTAAATTAATCTAAATATCACTGCTTTTATAACATTCAAGTCTGCAATAGCTAAATACAAAACAAGAACAAATTCAACACAAATATAAAATTACAAGGTTCAAATGTGGTGATTTCAGGCTATTTACAAGTAGGTGGTCATTTTGTAATTAGTCAGTTCGCATAGAGGGTTGGATATCCAGGTTAATCAAAAAAAAATTACGACAACTAGATTTGCAATTGCAATGATAAACTGGTTGAGTTCGATGTGTTTTTGGTCTTTTAGTTGAGTATGCAATATTACATACTTGTGTATTGCGAAAGTAGTGATATTTATGTTAACCATAAAAAAAGTTGTTGTATACCAATTTAACTGAAGAAAATTATCATTTAAACTAATTTCTTTATTTTCTTTCTCCTACCAGATTCCATAAATTATAATTGTGGTCCCTATAATATACTTGAAATCTCAACTTTCATCTCTTAATTTTATTTAAAGTACGTACATGTTTGTTTGTTTATATATATATATATATATATATATATATATATATGGGGTCATTCAAGAGAGAACTGATTATTTGTGTTAACTGTGAGATCCAATTTCAACCACAAATTAATGGATAAATTAATAAATTAATAATTATGATAGTTTGATTAAAATTATAATTAGAGGACACCCATTGTGATATAATGTGATGCCCAAATGGTATCACAGTATATCACATTGTGTATCTTTGTGATTACTTGGTACCTGCCGGATTTTTGTTCACCGAAGGCCGGAGATTGGAGGTCGGAGAGATGAGAGAGGAGAGATGAGTTTTTTAAAAATAACTAAAATGTCCTCTAATTATTTTAACTCAAACTACCATAATTATTAATTTCCTAATTTATCCGTTGATTTGTGGTTGAGATTGGATCTCACAGTTATTACAAACTAATCAGTTCTTATTAAGTAATATGGATTAATATATAGTACTTCATGCATAAAAAAATGGTTTTTAAGAGTTCTTGTCAAATGCTTTATAATATAGTGTATATATATATATATATATATATATATATATATATATCTAATCAAATAAGAACTGTTTTGTTTGTGTTAATTTTGAGATCCAATCTCAACCTCAAATTAAAAAGTTAAATTAAGAAATTAATAATTTTATTAATTTTAACTTAAAATATTAATTAAGGGCATTTTAGGAATTTTATAAATACACTCTCTCATCTCTTCTATTTCCTATCTCCGACGAATCTTATTTGGTGAACCTTATTCCGATAAACCTTATGTGAACACAAGATACACACTGTGATACCTGCAAACGATATTCACTATGATAGCCAGATATATATATATATATATATATATACATAGATACACAAGATGCACAATGTAATACGCTTTGTAAAGCAATGAAAATAACGAAAATGTATTGTTATATTTCATAAAACAAAGAAAATACATTGTGATACACATGAAACATTGTGAAATTTATCACTATGATATACTTTGATTCACAAATGTTTTTAAAATACAATGTATATTAGGTAATTGATATAGTAGGTAACTAATTTTAATTAAATAGTTCCTTTAAAAATATTAATTAAATATTTTGATTAGTGTCAAAAATAAAATTATTATATTATCATTTTAGCTTATTTAAGAAATATTTTTAAATATCTCAAACGAATGATTCACATTGAATTTCACGGTTAACACGAACTAATCAGTTTTCTCTTGAATAT